TGGTTGGCAGACAGGGTCATTGGACACATTTTTTAAACTAGATACCCCAATGATGATTGTGGATAATATTGGTTAAATGGGTTCAGTAGTTTCAGGGGAGAAGATTTTTGTAAAAGTTAACGAAGACGAAGACGATAACGGACCACAACGACGGACGCCAAATGATGAGAAAAGCTCTTTGGACCAGGTGAGATAATAAAGAATAAAGTAAAAGATAAAAGACTCTAAAGAGCTTGTGTCGCTCAACTAGGTCTCTGTGCATCTTCACCAATTGACACTCTTTAACATTATAGACTAAAATATAATTCATGTCAAAAATCTCTTTTTTGTTGATCTTCAACATTATTGCCGAAAAAAATTTCTGTTTACAATATCTTTATATCTTCTATACTTTTTGTCCAAAAGACAAAATATGGTAAAAATCACCTGTTTGCAGATCTTGTCTTGCTGATCATTTTTGCTTTAAATTAATAGGCATAAATGCAAAAAAAAAATGGTAAAAATGGCTATTTAAGAGCAATAACTCCAATAAGGAGTTGACTGACAATTTCAGCAATGATGTCTTAATACTAAATCTTGCCTTGTGGACCATTATTGCTATATAAAGTTTCTATCTATCTATCTATTATAGTTTTCAATAAAATGCTCTGCTGGGCGCAGCTTGATACGACCGCAGAGGTCGAACCCTGAACAGTTGGGACAAGTATGGACACAACATTCAAGCTTGATACAGCACTGAATTTGGATTGTGATTAAATATTTGACACAGCATAGGTTTCTGACACAGAATGAATGTGGTCTAAGAACTTAAAATTTTTTAATTTACCTATTCAAACCATATCATTATTATTTGCTTTTATATATAAATCAGAAATAACCAATTTAAAATAGAAAATTTTAAAGAAAAAAAAAGGAAACCCCCCCCCCCAATTTTTTGAAACCCCTTATGATTCATCACCCCCAAACTCAATCCCAGCCTTCCCTTTGTGTTATGGTACCTTGCAGTACAATTTCAGAGAGATCCATACACTTGAACACAAGTTATTGTCTGGAAACTAGAAAAATGCTTGTTTTTTGGCCCCTTTTTAGCCCCAAATTCCTAAATGTTTAGGGCAATTACCCCCAAACTCAAACATTGCTTTCTCTTTGTGATATGGAACCTTGTAGTACAATTTCATAAAGATCCATACACTAACAACATAAGTTATTGTCCTGAAACTAGAAAAATGCTTGTTTTTTGCCCCTTTTTGGCCCCTAATTCCTAAAATTTTGTCAATGAGGCAATTATCCCCAAAATCAATCCCAGCCTTCCCTTTGTGGTATGGTACCTTGCAGTACAATTTCAGAGAGATCCATACTCTTGAACACAAGTAATTGTCTGGAAACTAGAAAAAAATGCTTATTTTTGGCCCCTTATTCCTAAACGTTTTGGGCAAATACCCCCAAACTCAATTCCAGCTTTCCCTTTGTGATATGGAACCTTGTAGTACAATTTTAGAAAGATCCATAAACTTACACACAAGTTATTGTCATGAAACTAGAAAAATGCTTGTTTTTTGCCCCTTTTTTGGCCCCTAATTCCAAAAATTTTGAGGCAATTACCCCCAAAATCAATCCCAGCATTCCCTTTGTGATATGGAACCTTGTGGTACAATGTCAGGGAGATCCATACACTAACACACAAGTTATGTCTGGAAGTTACAAAAATGCTTATTTATGGCCTCTTTTTTGCCCCTAATTCCTTAACTGTTGGTACAATAACCCCCAAAATCAATCCCAACCTTCCTTTTGTGGTATTGAACCTTATGTTAAAATTTCATAGAGATCCATTCACTTAAACTAAAGTTAGAGTGCGAAAACCAATGTGTCTTCGGATGACGACGCCGCCAACGTCATACCAATATACGACCGCAAAATTTTTTTGCGGTCGTATAAAAACCTTTTAAAAAAATGGTAAAAATCCTCATTAAAGGGCAATAACACCAATAAGGTGTCAGCTAACAATTTCAACCATGTACACTTATTTGTAAATCTTGTCTTGCTGATTATTTTTGCCTTTTAAAGTTTCTCTCTTTCTATTATAGTTTTCAAGATAAAAGGCAAAAAAAAAAATTTAAATGGAAAAAGGTAACACCTCCAATAAGAAGTTGTCTGACAGTTTTGATGTAAATTCCCAGAAGGTAGACCTCAACATTCTAACATTTCTAAGATTTTCTCTATTTATAGCATTTTTTAAAGAAAATAGACAAAGCTTTCATTTTACCTCTATGTTCTTTTTTTAGCCATATTGGTTGACTGGATGGGGTCATCAGACTCTAACCAAAATACCTGGACCCTCCACTTTTTTCTCACACTTCATAAATCATTACTTAATAGTTTATTCATATTACATAGGTTAAAATTAACTCTGTTGGTTACAACTGAAACCATACAACTGGTAGACACCTCAGTGGTCTGTTATTAGGATCTACAGAAGCTGTTTGTTTTATCCCTGGTAAGGTCAAATCAAAGACTTTAAATTTGGTACTTTGTCTCTTACAGATGGAACCGAAATCCTACTCATTATTTAACCCCTACTCTATTTACACATTTTCCAGGAAACTATAGCAATTTGCCATCTATTATATTTTCTGAGCATGCCTGCATATTATCATCAACAGTTCCATTGCTAATGTACTTGTTTCTACATGCACCAGTAAATTCAATCTATTCTTCATAAATATTCAATTGAAAAAAAAATGTTAGTAAATTTGTGACAAAATTTATTCAATATTCAATTCTCTGTGGACTCATCCATCAGAGCATAACAGGTCCAAATTATAATACTATCCAGTGACTGCAACAAGCACCTTTGTGATCAAGAGATTCCTGACACATGATGCATCATTGTTACAGCAATTTCCATAGAGGGAAGTAGTTAAACAAAATATAGCCTGACATGACTGTAGAGACATGTTTGTCACGTGTCAATGCTGCAATTAAATTCAAAATGGTTCTTGCTGGTTTGATCTCTGATGCAAAAAATGGCAATATAGAAACTTGTCAAACATTTTAATGTTCCTATTGAGAATTGACCAAAATGTGAAATCTTATCATTCTTCATTAACATTGTTTTCAAAGCAGAGAATAGTAGATTACTGAAGTACCTGCCATTGTTGTGTGTAACAAATGATAAAGGACATGTACATTACATTAAACATTATTTTTACGGCCATTCAATATGAATCAATCTAATAAATTTTCTGTAATAATTTGTTTCAGAGAAAACAAGCAATTAAAGAGATTAAATGATAGTATTTTATCAATATTAAATTAGCTGATCATACATCTTATTCTGAAGACCAACATTGTGCAATAATTACATTTATATGTATGTTTCATAAGAATCCAAGGTTTTGATTGGCTGCTAACAATTGAGAGGATTCAAAAATTAGATTTTATTTCCGCGCATCAGAACAAACTGTCCTTCAGTCAATGCTTTTACACCCCAATAAAATTACAAAAAGAGAAGCATTCAATTCTTTAATAAAGTGCATCTGTAAAAAAAAAAAGGTTGGATTTTCATTCAGAATATGGCAAATATTCCCCCCCCCCCCCCCCACCCCTTGATCACCAAGGGATATCATTATATCATGTTTTCCACAATTTATATGATTTTTTAGAATAAAATCGTCCAATATTTTTTCGCCTCGAATCGCTCAGCAGTATATAATCTGTTTCATGGAATTGCGCCCCCCTCCCCCCTTTCAGTAATCCTGGATCTGCCAAGTACTATCGACAGATGGTAAAATTGACTAAGTCATCCACCCTTTAAAAACCCTCTTGTATTAGAAGAATGACCAAGACACTTACATATAAATGGACAAGTAATTTATAGATTTTACTAATCATTGCTTTTAGAACAATTGCTTGAGTTCCTGTCATCTCTTCCGATCATCAGGTCACAGCTTTTTATCAGCATAGAACAATCATAAAGGATTATTTATTATCCAACAGACAGAACCCAACAGGTAATAATTCTCCCAATACATCTGAGCAAATAAAATCCTATTGATTGAACAATGCTTCATCTCTGTCTACTTAGCAAACATAACATTGATAATAATTGTTCCAAGATCTGTTTACATACATGTATGAAACGAGAGGTTAATTAATTAGCAGAGTAAACTGTTTAAATAAAAAAGTGTGATAAAATTCACTGTCATTAATATTGTACAATCCATTTTAAGAATAGATTGAAAAAAGTTGCTTTACATCTGCATCAATATTTTCAATGTATTTTATCAAATCCTCAGTTTTTAATATCCAATTCTTTCAAAAAATGTAAATTATATTCTTTATTAAACTAAGAGTTAAACTGTTCAATAAAAGCCATGTTTCACTATAATAGCTTTTACTCATAATTTATCCATTCATATCTTTTAATTCTGTGGAAATTTGCTGTAGAAAGACAATTTTCTTCATTTGCAGAGACTTTGTAGCTTACTGTCTGCAGAAATAAAAGTCATATAAGAGAGAAATTGTGGCAATTCTTAAATTATTTTTTTAATAAAATTTAGTTTAAATGTTTTTAAAAATATACAATAAACTCTGAACACTGATTTAAGATGTCTTAAAACCTTTTTATTTATTTTTGAAGTTAAAAAGATAAAATATGAACTAGGAATATATTTGAGTATAAGATCTTACCTTTAAAGACATCACTGTTTCCTTTTAAGACTTTAACTTCATTCACCAGTATTATCAATCAAATACAGGACAAATCTAGGTCTATCAGTGAAATCAATCTGCCACCAATAGATTTCTTTTGGAATGAAATATAGCTCTTGTCATTCATCAGAAGATAGAAATTATATATCCTGTTAATTTCGCAAATATATGTAACATCAGAGTGAAAATAATCCTCTAATTTTTTAAAAGATTTAAGCTGGTGTCATTTTCATTTATCATCTGACATGCAAAGAACACGACAATTGAACATTTTTAAATGAAAATCCTACATTAAAGTTTTAATCTGATAATTACAACAAACTCGGTTAATTAACATTTTTATTTGCTATTCCAGTAAGCTCAATAGGGATACCTTGTGACTTAAAATTCGCACAGCAAGTATTTTTTCCTATAAAATTTTCCAATTTCCACATTGATTTTTTTTCACCACTGTATCTATAGACAAGGAGATTAATAACATTGTACAAGAACTTGGATCTGTGGGACCACAGCTTTATGTATCATTGCACGCGCAACATTTTTAATTGATCACACTTTTAATTTATCAGATTGCTTTGCATGACAAGAACTTGTGAATAAGTTCTAGACATTGATAGCGTAATCCACTCCCAGGTAGAAAATATAAAATAAAAGACATTACATCATTCAATCATATTAAATATTTCATTCCAGTTGTTTGAAAGTTGGAGACTACAATGTTCATCCAATGGTCCATATGCATGCTATATGGTAATTTTCAAAGTTGCACGTCATGCAATCTCTAGCATTGATAACCTAGATCATTTTCACCATATTTTGTTGGTTTCGAAGAAGAAAAATATTATTGGTCATATCAGGTAACTTTTTTTTTTTCATTTATCACTTAATAAGACAAAACTTTGTGATAAATTTGACAATAGCAAGAACATTTGTTTTTACTATTTCTTATCAGTTCTACATCTAGATATTTAACTTTACACCAGATATGATGCACCTATGTTTTATATAATTGATTGATTGGTGTTTGATGCAACTTTCAGCACTATTGTGCTATTTCGTGGCAGTGCAAAAATTGTCATTAAAGGGCAATAGTCCTTATAAGGGGTAAACTGAAAATTTCTGCAATTTTGATCTATTTGTTAGTCTTTTCTTGTTGATCATTTTTTGCTTTTTAAATTTTTAATCTATTAAAGAGAACAAGTATAACAAAAAATGGTAAAAATTGTCATTTAAGGGTAAAAACTTCTATAAAAAGTTTGCCATGATGACTTATTTGTACATCTTGTCTTGCTGATCATTTTTGCTTTTTTATTCTTTCTATCTAGAACAGTTTTGAAGAGAATAGGCAAACAATTGGAAAAAAACCTGTCATTTTGAGACAAAACCAAGCTTGGTTCTAACTACCCCAGTAGTTTCGTCGGAAAAGATTTTTGTAAAAGGTAAAGGAGGATGGGCACAGACACCTGACGCCAGACTCCAAGTGATGAGAATAGGTCAGTTGGGCCTTTGGGCCTCAGGTGAGCTTATAAATACAATAGGGCTAATGTCCTGTAATAGGAATTGATGAGGATGATAGATGGGAATTTGGAATGCCATTTGGATATGTGGGCATATTAGATAGGGGCAGAAATTAAGCCTTGCAACAGGCCAACTACGGACCCGTCAGTGTTGTTACAAGGGTTCTTTACCTGCAGAGAGTGTGGCAGTCACTCTACACAACATTGATTTTAACGTCCCATTTCTGACAACCTGTGAATTTATGCATCCTGCACAGCCAAAAGGACCCACTTCGGCGAGGGTTTTACTGAAGGTTCAAAGAAGACCAAGTGATTGCCATATTTCTATACCCCAGTCAACCCTTGGCATTTCCTATATCTTTTTGCATTTCATACTATCTGAGCATTTAAGGTCTTTTTAATTTATTTTTTTGTGTTCATGCATGTAACTGAAATATTCACTGGTTAGAAAAACTACAACAAAACTGAAGTATGGTATTTCAGGCTTTATTTCTCCTTTCTGCCAATTTGATCTTGTTTGACAATTTTGTTAAATCAATAAATGGCAGCTAGATATTCATTTATTGGCAGTTTTGAAATGAGCAAACAAAACAATATTAAAATGGAACCTAAATAATGAAATGCCATTGAGATAATTGAAATTGGTCAAATTTGGCAGCTTGAAGAGCATTCAACTTAAAATAAACATAAAAAAAATTAAAAAACACTTATACATGAATTGTCTAGCTTCTAAAATTAATCAAAAGGAGTGACAAGAGTTGGAAAGTAACGTTAAGCATAATAATTTTACTAAAATGATATTCAGACTTAAAACAAATTACATACTATTGTATATTTTTTCATTAAGTTGTGCCCGCTGACAAAGCAGCCAACAATGTACTTTTTTATACATGTACAAGTAAAAAACCTATCGATACTGAAAAAAAAACGATTAAAAAATCTAGTTTCTTCTTTCCTACTTCTTCCACTGATGAAAATATCAAAGATGAACCCATCTCAACAAACAAAGCTTATGTTAATAGGGGTATAACATATTTCTGAAGTGTCAAAAATTTCTTGAAAATCCTGAATTAACTGCTTTGCTTTACGGATCACCATGCACTGACATTGTTTAAGACATCATTCATTTTTTGGGGATATTTTTAGGCTGTTAACTGATTTGCATTTATTCAATATCATTTATTCATGTTAAAATTTTCATACTTTGATAAATGAAATTAATTTCTTTCAGAATATAAGTTCAAAAGAAAACTGAATAGTTCAATAACAGCAAAATTCCCTACAAATACAATCACATCAAAAAGAATCAAAACAAAGGTATATAGACATTCATAACCTAAAGAAGCTTACCACAAGAACATTTTTACCACAAGGCATATTGATTTTTTCTCAACATCATAGATTGAGTAAGATCAGCAAAACAGGATATTTAGACGTGAAAAATGCAATTAGAGGATTAAAACGCAACAAGATCCAACATGGGACAACTACGCTTTAATAAGGTATTTCTCAAGGGATGTGTTAAAGCTGCTGGTATGATTACAAGGTTTCAGAAAGCACCATGAAACTTGAATCCACGGTAAATCACTTGTTGCTGAGCTATGGCTTCTGGTTGTGAAGAAGCATAAGTCAAATGATCTTTTCTTTATGTCTTTTCCAACAAGTATAATTATTTCTCACGTTTCAAACAGAAAACTAATGATTTTTATACTGCAAAGAACAAATTTCTCAATTTTGTAATTAAATGTTATAAGCATTAAAGTTCATTTAACTGGAAATTCCTTAAACCAGATATTTATGGAAATTGTTTAAATGAAAAAAAATATCTGAAATAAAGAGAAGGAAATATATCAAAAAGACTAGCACATTTAACAACATATCTCTTTTGGAATAAAATAGCAGATACTTATTAAAAAATTCTGTCACTGTCTAATTACATCCTGAAATAATTAATATTGGCTGCATTCAATTTGGGTCTGTATATTTTATTACTTGGCTCAAGGCTTTTCAAATAGATGTTAAAGTTAAACAGGTAGTTTTTAATTTAATATTTATCAGGGAAATTCACCAGAACTATAAACTCACATAGTGCAAGTAGATAAACAAAATCTCCACTGGGTTTTGCCTAATAATATGGTTATCCTTCTGCAAATTGACATGGTCATTTTTTGAGTAAGAGCTACACAAAATCACTGTGTTGCATTACAATATAGAAATTTACAAAAACAGACTTGTTGTAGACTCATATTGCCAGACCTCTGTATAGCATTTGTTTACTGTATTTGTATTGTTGGATTACTGTCTAATTCAGCTAAATCCCACATCACATTTTTTTCATATCTCAGACTACAAAAACTGCACCATTTAGACCCCGTTTATACTTGTACAAAATTAAACCGATCTTAAAAAGACCAGTTCGCATTTTAATTTGCACAAGCAAGATCGACAGAGATCAATCTTATTTAACCTTAAGTGCGTTTACACTGCAACATAAAAAGAACCTGTCTAACCTTATTACATTACATTTCGATAGTAATAGAAAATAGAATAGTAAAATAACTTCTGCATCTCGCGCAGACTATCACACACTGCAAAATCATGGAGAAAATAGTTGGATCATTGGAATTTTGTATGAAGTTATTAATCATATTTTTGGTTCATACATCACAAGTCATTAAAACAAAGAAATGTGAGAAGACTATCACTTAAAAACGATCGGTCAATGCGTTTGAAGATGAGGGTTTGCATGAGCAAAGAAAAAGAATTTATCAATTCATAAGAATGATCCAAAAATGGCAGAATCTATGTTTACTTTTCTTTTCCCTTCCATTGATTTTAAAAAACGTGTTTATTTTGCCACTGAACATGCACAGATTTATTTTTATATCTAAATTTAACATTTATTTGAAGAAAGATCGATCGCGATCGATCTAAGCGTTTATACTTGAAGAAAGATCGATTCAATTAAGATCGATCTTTTTAAAACCACCTCTGAAGGTGCACTTTTTAAGTCCGACTGAAGATCGATCTTTCCCGTTTACATTAAACTAAAGATCGATCTTTTTAAGATTGATCTCAGGAAAGATCGATCTTTTTTACAAGTGTAAACAGGGTCTTATAAAACTTACCCTTCAAAATTGATAATCCTATCTACATCAAATTTTTATCTAAACTGGCCAATTATGTTGCCATCACAGTTCTGCTGTGGTCACTGTTCTGGACATTTGGCAATAAATTGAACAGATTAGATTAAATAGCAAGAGAGAGTGTGTGGTCTGATATCAAAATCTGACAAAATTAGTGATTAAGAAATTAAATCTTTGGTTAATTAACTAATTTTCCTTGAACCAACAAGCAAATGGTAGCAGAGGTAGTAATGTTAGAGAAGTAAGCACTTGTTGCTAATCAAAATATCGCTGGTATCATGTTATTGATGGTAAAAACCTTAAATAAGTCTCAATATAATCAATATAATCAGAAAAGTCTATTAACTTTGCCCAGGAATAAGAAAAAATTTTAACTATTCAGAACTCAATATACTGGATATTTTAAAATTTGGTTTGAATGACTTATTGCACTTCATATCATCCAAAAAAGGGTTGAGCACTGACAAACATGTTTGACACAGCCACATTCTATATTTGCCTGTCCCAAGTCAAAAGCCTGTATTCAGAAGTTGTCACTGGTTGCTTTCCTTCATATTTGTTGTTTATTGTTTTGTCACAAATTGTTTTATATTTTGTTATGTCATGTCAAGGGCCTATTATAGCTGACTATACAGTATGGAATTAGTTCAGTGTTGAAGGCCATATGGTGACATTTCATTGCTTAAATCTGCTTCATTTGGACCCTGTTGGATAATTGTCTCATTGAAGATAACATTCTTTAAGACAAATGGAAGATTATTTGCTTGTTAAGTTAGTATGTAAAAACAAGTTTGATGCAGATTGCTGCGGATGATGTGTTTACACTGGCGTTACCATCCAGGATGGCCTGTTTGGTTGAGCTGTCTTAGTTTTTGGGTTATAGTAATATAAATTTTACGATCTTAGGCATTCACAATCCCAGATAATATGGCCATGATTTTTCTAGAGTTGAATTTTTTATTATAAATCTATACTATTAAACGAGAAGACCTCATTTTGTGTGTCGCTTCTCTTCCTTCCCCAATAAATTAATCATAATGCCTCTGTGTCCTATAGGTACTATGCATAGTCGCATTTGTCATCCATTCTTATGATTATTCAGTTTGAGTTATTTTGGGAGAAAAACGAAGAAAAAGTCATCCGGATATTGTTTCCGTCATCAGACCGACTTTTAAGTCATACCCAAAACTTCCAATTTTAAACTTTAAAAGAGGGGGTAAAGGGTTATTTTCGTGCAAAGTGTTTTGCCACTTTTTATTTCATGTGCAGCCGTGAAAAAGGTTCGTTATTCACCGTGTTTCTTGAAATCGATAAAAAGATCAACGTGCAAGAAATTTTTAATTGTTCGCTCATCGTGAAATGGCAATTTTATTTCGCGTTCTTCCGTGCAGATACCCCTCCCCTTTACTCCTCTCTTTATAAAACATAATTTTCATAATTACTCGGGGACAGGACAATTATTTTCGAGTTATTCTGCATGTATACTATGATTATAACCCTATAATATATAGAGACTCTCTATATAATATAGCAGTGATCACCGTGGAGAAGAAACTTGGAATTGATAGTTAATAGTAAATACACTTTATTTATATTGTATGTATGTTCATAGTATACAGAAACGCGAAAATCATGGAATTTAACAAAGAGCAAAAAAATAACGGACTTTGGAAAAAATGGAGAGGGCTTAAAATAATTGTCCTGTTTCCAAGTGCCTATGACTCAGTTTGATAACTTTTCTGAAATTCTCCAAACATAAAATCTTTTACAAAAATTCATCCTACAACAGTACACATACTTTCAACCAAGCTCTAAATACCCGCGATTTCGCGGGTGTGTTCTAGTATTCTTTTAAGTAAGATCATAATCGTGTTGAAGTAGTTAACTAATAAAACAATGAAGTAACCTGGAAGACAAACATAGTACTTGTGATAGATTAACAATTCAACATCACTAAGAAATATTAATTGAAAGTGTACATTATCCTTTATTATTTTTTTATTCAGCCACTCCGTAATATTTAGATAACTTTCGAAACTTGACGACAATATGATTAATTGATGGATAAAATGATACAAAAGATAAGAATCTCATGCAGATGATCCAATCAGGTTCCAATTTGAATTTCTACTAATAATCAATACTTTTCAAGATTTAGCATCATTCCATTTTTATTGTTGGGACAGTAGGAAAATGACGGATAATCCATCATTGAAAAGTGGATTTTTTCAAAAGCAAATACTTAAGTTACTTTTTTCAATCATCACGGAAAAAAGGAATTAATAAGTTGTAGATTAAATGACAGAAATTATATATGATACTTCAACTTGCTGTTTATTACAAACAAAAGCTTGTCTCATGTCTCTTTTTTTTCTCAGAATATTGTACAAGAAATAAATATGTTGCTTTTCAAACATGAATTTTTCAAACCCAACAATCAGAATAATGAAATCATGGTTCTGACCTATTCAATTTACTATTCAGACATGTTTGGACAGGACAAATAACAATGTCTGGTCTGACGACAACAGGCATATTTACTAGGGGGTTATAGGAAAATCAAAAAGTGATACATCTAGAAAAAAAAAAAAATATTTTAGTATATTTCCAACCTTAGAATCCTTAAAAATAATCCATACCAATATAAAATAAACAGCTGTGCTTAGAGCACATGATAGGCCCTTATTGACATATTGAAATTGTTGCAAAAATAAAATGGGATATTTCGAAGGCATTTCATCATAAGCAAATAAAATGGCTCTGTAGAAAACATGCCTGAGTATATTGTTCAAATCAAACAGTTTGTTATGTTCACCAATTCCAACAATTACGTAAAGTTTCCTCTAAATCAATCCAAGCAAACTCAAGCTATTGTACAAAATGTGAAAACTTTATTAAAATCTGACAATTAAAGTCCCATAACTCTGGAGGGCATACAGGAAAATTTTAAAAATCAAAAGAGAGCTTCCTTTTATCAATCCCCACAATAATGTAAAGTTTGGAGGAAATAAATAAAGGAATTATAAAGTTAGTGCGCAATTTGTGAAAAATTGCCTTAAATCTAAGGGTCAAATTTCCGTAACTCTTGAATGACAGTCAAAAATAAAAATATTGAAAGGGAGCTTTCTTCTGTCAATTCTAATGTTGCTCTAATGTGTCAGTTAAATCAACGAATTTACAAAATATGAAATAGTTCAAATGGAAAAACTATCGCCTGATTTAAGACAAAACAATCAATGAAAACAAATATGATAGACTCACGTTCATAATTTAGGTTTGTGATAAACAACCATTTTTCCATTCAGAGTCATTGCAACCAGGCTTAAAAGTCAGCATTAAATCACTCACAAGTTTTTAAAAAAATACCAAAAGGACTTTCCTGGCCAAGTTTGGTCTAAATCAGCCTAACAGTTTCAGAGGCTTTTTTAAAGTTTTAAAATGGACATAGGACAGACAAAAGCCACCATGTGATGGCAACAGGTCATGTGGCCTTCTGCCAGGTTATAAAAAAAATAATTATTCAGCAATAAGGGTGATATGTAATGTGTTTCCTTCAAAGACATTCAAATATGAAAGTGATGAAATCTACTTCAACTTTT